GCGCTGGAGCGGCGCCTGCCCCACCCCAGCCCCGCCAAGGGCGGCCGGCCGGGCGCGTTGCGGGGGGCGCCCGAGTCTGCGTCCTGAGCGCGCAGGCCCCTCCCGGCGCTGCAGGGCAGACCCTCTCCCCAATCGCCCCCATCCCCGCGACCACCGGGGGAGGCCCCCACCGCAGCCTTCGGCGTGGAGCGCTCACTTGCTTCTTTGCCACCTTGTCTTCTCTCGCCTCTGTCCAACCCCGGCCCTGGCCCTCCGCCCTGGCCCCCCGCCCGGCTTTCCCCAGCCCCCCACTCTGGAGCCTTCCATCTTCCGGAGCTCCTGAAAGCAACGCACACGGATCCGCGCTGCTCAATAAATTTCTTAAGCCCTGCCCTGTCCTCCGCGTACCTGGGCCTCTTTCCTGCATTCGTGAGGCTCTGGCCCTTTAGGGGACCTTACCCTCTACCCCTCATCCCCCTCCCCCTCCCGCTTGACACCTATCCCAAGTATCTGTACTCTTGCCAGCAGGAATCTATGTCCTCCCTCCATCTCCCAATAATTCAAGTATCCCCCCCATCCTCCATCTTTCCTTTCTCCTCAGCCTGAGTACCTTGTCTCCTATTATCCATATCTGGGGGTGTTGCTCAGGTCCCAGGCTGTGAGCCTCTGTCCAGCCGGGAGTCCCAGCGGTTGACCCGCAGCCTGGCTGTCCTCTCTCTCCTTCCTCCCCTGCTCCTCCCAGGAGCCCAGCTGGCTGGCTTGGAGGAAGGCAGAGTGGAGACATTCCCTAGCAGGGAAGCTGGTGGCTCTGGGTCTCTGTCCACCTCCCCCACTCACATACAAAGTGGTCCTGGAATGAGTTTCTGCTTGATAGAGCGTGTTTGGACAGGAGGCATAGGGACCTAAGGAACGAACCTCCCCTCAACAACTCATTCTGGCTTTTCTCTTTCAGAAAACCGGCCATTCCCGCCGGGCCTTTGGCCGAATCACCCATGGTGCGTGGACCATGGGCGTTCCTGCTCTAGCCATGCCCCCTGCTCCTCTTGGGCCATGTCCCTTCATGAGGCATCAGGGCCCTGAAGATAGCCCATGAGATGTGGGGCCCCTCACACATCTACCCACCCACCCTAGAAGGACTCCTGTGCCCTGCAGCTGAGAGAGGACCCAGCAGTGGGAAGGGGGGCTCCCCAGCACACCCCAACATGGGCTTAGGTGCCTGGGCTCCCTGTTCCCCATCTGTGGGACCAAGTGGGGAGAAGCTCATTGCCATGCTTTGGCAACCAGTACATGGCTCCTGCTTGTCATGGCACCCAGAGGGAAACTGAGGCACAGAACCTGATAGGATCTGGGAAAGTTGAAAATATGCCCAGGAAACTTTGCTGGTAACCTAACCACTGGGTATTTTTGAGGACCATTCAATAGTGGAAGAGAGGAATCTTGAGGAAGGTGCCTCTCCCATCACGATGCAGACAGAAGGGGGGTTGATTTGCAAGGAAGGGTCAAAGCACAATGCAAATATTGTCATAGAGGGTGAGCCTGACCCCTGATGGGAGGCCTGGACCTGTGGTGGGGCTGGGCACAAGCAGGTGTGTGTGTGTGTGGCCAATGGGAGCACCAGTAAGTGCCAAGTTACCAAAATTGCTGGGCAGTCGGAATAACCAGCCCAAGCATGTGGGTTCCTCAGTACTAGGCACATCCCAGGTGTCTTCCTCCCCTACCACCCCACCAAGGGCATCTCTGGGCACTGGGTACCTCTGTGTCCTGCTTGCTGTCCATGCCCTGCCCCACAAACGCTCTGATAACAGTCTGTCCATGTCTCTCTCCTGCTGCTCCTATGGAAGCGAAGTTTTCCGCTCCTGCAGAAAGCAAAGTTACGGTAGGAAACTGGCTCCTGCCCTAGACCCCCACTCCCTGCTCTTCCCCGCCCAGCCCCGGCCTCTCCTCACCCTGCCTCAGCTGCACCCTGATGCCTTCCAGCTGGTTTGGGGTAGAGGACAGGCTGGCCCTGCGGTTGGTCGAGTGCCCTGACAGTACGACTCTGAGGTGACTCCCCTTTGTTCCTGGGGTACTGGAACCCAGACTTTAGAGCCTTGGAACCTAGGGCCTTGTCATTTTGGGGGCTGCACAGTGACTTACGCTATCACTGACAAGGGGAGGAGGGAGAAGAGAGGAGGCCCTGGTAATCCATTATGTGGTTAGGAGTGGGGATAGCAGTTTTGAGGGCCCCATGGAGATGAGGGTGAGTAGCCAGCGGCCTGGAGATGGAGCCAGGGCACTGGCATGGGAGAGGTTACCCTGAGCAGCCCAGGCTGGGCAGTGGGATGGGGGGAGCAAAAGAGGGGAGAAGACAGGGTGCTGGAAGCCCTACCCGTGGTAAGATGGTGCCTGCCATGGGGGAGGCAGGAGGCAACACAGGGAAGAGTCGGAGGCAGAGGGAGGGGGGCCTGCCCACACAGACCCCATCTTCTCCAGACTCGGAGCCGGCTGAGGATGACATCAGCGATGTGCAGGGGACCCAGCGCCTGGAGCTTCTGGATGACGGGGCCTTCAGCACCCCCACGGGTGAGCTCTCTGGGGTGCTCAAAGAGCAGGCAGGTGGGCTCCCCACAAGGTTTGCCTCGGTCTCACAGTACTCCTTTCTCTAGGGGGTTCTGATACCCTGGTGGGCACCTCCCTGGACACACCCCCGACCTCCGTGACAGGCACTTCGGAGGAGCAAGTGAGCTGGTGGGGCAGCGGGCAGACGGTCCTGGAGCAGGAAGCGGGCAGTGGGGGTGGCACCCGCCGCCTCCCGGGCAGCCCAAGGCAAGCACAGGCAACCGGGGCCGGGCCACGGCACCTGGGGGTGGAGCCGCTGGTGCGGGCTTCTCGAGCTAATCTGGTGGGCGCAAGCTGGGGGTCAGAGGATAGCCTTTCGGTGGCCAGTGACCTGTACGGCAGCGCGTTCAGTCTGTACAGAGGACGGGCGCTCTCAATCCACGTGTAAGTAATGGCCTCACCCAGGCCTGCACTGTCCCATGTCACCATGCTGTCCTGCGCTGCCCCTCACTGCTCTGTCAGCCTCCACCCCATCTTCCCTGCCCCATCCATCTCTCTGTGCACTTCCTCACCCCCACTGCTTCCACTACTGGCCCTGGCCACCCACTCTGTGTTCCCACACCACTCCCTTCTCCTCCTGTGCCATCACACCCACATCTTCCTGCTCCCACCTGTCCTGGCTCCCCATGCCATCTCCACAGTCCTGTGGACCCCTCTGTCCCTTCCTCGTCTCCTCCAAGATCTCCAGTTTCTCAGGGGCCCTCTCCTGCCTCACCCATTCAGGCTCCAGTTGTCCCCAGGATTCCCCTCCCCTCGGGGGCCCCCTCCGTGCCTGCTGTCTCAGCAGCTGCTGCCTTTTCATCTCTCTGCACATTCCTGTTCCCATGTGGGCCTTTTTCTGGGAGGAACAGAACCTTTCTGCACGGCAGCTCCTGGGAGAGCAGGAGAGAGCAGGGGAGCAAGAGAGCCACCGGGAGAGAGAAGAGAGCAAGGTGGTCAGGGACAGGTGGGGCGAGGGGCCTGCGGAAGCAGGAGGATGCTGTGTGGGCTGTGGGGGAGGAAGGGGGCTGGGAGAAGGAGGGGCTGCAGACAGGGGCCTGGGGTGGAAGTGGAGGGCTTGGATTGAATGCGGCAGGGGACATGTGATGATCTAGTGGGAAATGCCTGAAGCTGAGATTCAAGGTTGTCCTGGTAGGGGGTGGTAAGGAGCAGAGGTGTTGTAGTGAGGCATTGGAGTCATTTTTGGAGATTTGGGGGCTGACAGATACAGGAGGGAGTGCTATAGCAGAAGAGGGGAATGGCTGATGATACAGGTATTGGGGGGCATTTGGGGAGCTGAGAGGGGACCGGATTTGTGATGGGTATGGGTGTGTTTGTGGGGGAGGTACCATCATGCAGAAGAAAGAACGGGCCTGGCGGGGTAGGCTGTTTTGAGGGTGGTTGGAATGGCTAGTGGTAGGCAGGGGAGAGGTCCAGGGCAGGGGCAGCAGGGGGATCTCTTGGCTTATTTTGTTGGCATTACCAGCCATTCCTGTGCCCTAGACTCGCCTTTCCCTCCCTGCCTTTCTTTACCAGGCCCCAACCGGAGCCTGGAGTTGCTATGGCAACTTCAGAGGAACCCATTTCCTTAGTGATGTCTGTGGTACAGAGACTGGCCTGGAGCTCAGAGCTGCCAGCAAGAGGTCTCCTCTGCTGTCCCCAGTTTCTCTCCAGGCCTCACCCACTTCCCAGAGGCCGTTCCTCAGGGACTCTGCTGCCCCTCCCTCAGAGTAGACTCTGCCAGCTTGAAGGTGGTTGGCTGAGGTTTTTCCTCCCTTGGGGCACTCTGGATCACCACCTTACCCCTTTCCCCCCAGTCTGGGTCTGGAGTGTGGGTGGCTGACCCTGGCAGCATAAAGCATCCGTATACCCAGGCACCCCTAGGACTTCTGCTCATGGCTGGTACCCTACTATTTCTCCTTCCTTCTGTGTGCCCAGAAACCTAGAGATTCTGGAGGGAACAAGGGCCCAGGGGTCAGACTACCTGGGTTTCAATCCTAGAACCAAACATTTCTTAGTTGTGTCACCTTGGTAAGGCATTTAACTTCTTTTAAGCCTCAGTTTCTTCATCTGTAAATGGAGGTATCTCAAAGGGCTGTTGTGAGAATTAAATGACTCAATGCATTTAAGCACTTTAGTACATGCCTGGCATACAGTAAGTATTCAATGAGCCATTTCATAAGTTTGTATTAAGCTCTCTTTAATGTGTCAGGTATGATAATAGCTCTCAGATTCCTTTTCTTGCTAATCTTTATGTTTCATGTACTCCCCTCCCCAGGGATCCAGATGGGGGAAACTGAGGCCCAGCTCTTGAGCATCAAAGCTCTGTTAGGTTCTTGGGGCACTCTGGGCTGACTTGCCCTTTTCCTCTTCCTCTCCCCCCATACCCCTTTTCAGGCCCACTTAGTAGTTAATGAGCATACCCCTTGGGGGCAGGAAGGCTTCTGTGCTTCTCAGGGGGGTTTCCAAGGACTTAAACAGGGGCAGAAAAAGGTCAAAGGCCTATACTGGGGGCAGATTGGGCAAGGAGTGTGGGAGCCTGGGTATGCCATTCCCAGGGACCCCAGTTGCCACCTGCTGTGTCCTATCAGCACTGGTGATGGCGTTAGGCATGCGCTCAGGTCTGCATAGAAGGGTGATCTCAGGGATGGGGTGCTGCTCCCTGAAGGCTTGTGCCAGGTCGTGGAGGCAGTTGCTGTTCTTCTAGGGGTCACTGTGAAGGGGGTGTGTCCTGCTGAGGATGGGCTGGGGTGTGGAGGCCAACTGGGGGCAGGAATGAGTGGGAGACTGCATTCCTGAGAGGGTCCCTCCCCATCCATCCTTCTTGTCTTCCCTCACCACTTTATCCTTTGGGTCTTAAGCCTCATTTTTTCTCTCCCTCATGCTCAGTTCTGTTTCTGCTGTTTCCCAGCTTTCGGGGCTGGGGGGAGGGGGCTGGCCAGAGCTCCTGGGGCTGAGTCTGTACCTGGACCCAGCCATGACACCAAACTTCCGGTGCCAGAGCCGCCAGCCTCTCCCCAGCACCTGCTCTGGCTGTGCCCTCTTCTTGGGGGTGGGGGGCAGGAGGGTCTGGCCCATGTCACCCCCAAGCCTGCCCAGCATGCCCCACCGCCCAATTCCTGTCACAAGCTTAGGGTCTAGGAGGGGAAGCCCGCTGAATCTCCTACTCCTCTCCGTCTCGGTTCTGCAGCAGCGTCCCTCAGAGCGGATTGCACAGGGAGGAGCCTGACCTTCAGCCTCAGCCGGCCAGCGAAGCCCCGCGCCGCCCGGCCCTTCCGCCTCCCTCCAAATCCGCGCTGCTCCCCCCACCGTCCCCTCGGGTGGGTAAGCGGTCCCCACCGGGACCCGGCGCCCAGCCCCCAGGCCCCCCCAGCTCGCCCCACCGACGTACTCAGGAGCCCGTGCTGCCTGAGGACGCCACCGGCGAAGAGAAGCGAGGGAAAAAGTCCAAGTCGTCGGGGCCCTCGCTGGCGGGCACAGCAGAGTCTCGGCCCGGAAGCCTCCACTCCATTCCCTTGGCC